TGTGTCTATCAAATAAACCTGAAAAAGGCCAAAATATAAAATATAAAAAAAGACCAAGCAATGTAAGTAATGTTTCCAGCACCATGTTGAATCCATGCCATGGAGATTTAAGCCAGTTCTGAGGGCAGAAAAAGGTGTCTAGCCCAACAATAGCAATGTGTAACTAATAAAGTGGCCAGTGAATGTAAATTTAAAATATGCTTCGTAAACATTTACTGAAAAAGTTTTTTACTCACTTCTGGAGTGCCACAGAAAGTCGAGGTGGTTGCCTCCGGCTCCACACCCTCCTTGCACAGCCCAAAATCTGTCAGCACCACATGGCCCTGCGCACACAAAACAGTGAGTGACAAACACAAATAAAGCCTTTTTCCCCTTTAAAGTGTTAAAGCAAATGGGCTGATCCTGACTCACCTGACAGTCTAAAAGTATATTTTCTGGCTTCAGATCTCTACAGTGAACAAGAACAAATCAGACCGTCAGTGCAAAAATATATTATTACTTTGTATATTCAATTTTTGATAAATGATTGGTTTCAATAAACGTTCGAGCGTCTCTTTAACCTGTAAACAATGTTGAGAGAGTGAAGGTAGCCGATGGCGCTTGCTACCTCAGCCGTGTAGAATCTCGCTCTGGGTTCTGAGAAACACCGCTCTCTCTGCAAGTGGAAGAACAACTACACAAAGAGAAAGATGGGTGGAAAGAAGAAAATAAAATTATATTAAAAATTTTCAATGTATTGAGAGATGAGACACTTCATACCAAAGTCTCAGGAAAAAGCTCGGTATAAATAAGGTTTTGACTTGCTTTGCTTTTTGAGTGCTGCAACAGCAAACAAGAGGAATACAACAATATGACATCAACTATGTCTCATACCAGCTTCAGTTTAGGCTTCATCATTACAAATGTGGACAAATTTGCACAATAGGTAAAATAAAAACCATCTGATCAGTAGACGGAAATATGTTAAGATTTTAGATAAGACATTTTCTAATCTGTGGGCTTTTGTTTCAGCGACGGGAAGGTTCACTCTTGTACCCGAAGGCTGACTATGATAACACTATAAAACTAGCAAGAATGGAAAGCTTGTGGAAATCATCTGTTGTACTGCACTTTGTCTAATTTTTACTGTTTTAGCAAGAAAAAAGCGAGTTTGTAGCAGTTACACAAAAGAGAACAAAAATAAGCTAGAGGTAGATTGTTTGTGATGACAGCAGTACTTCGTACACTGATGATGCTTGTTACAGTAAACAAATAAATCTAATTGCTTCCTGTCACCCAGGAAGTTACTAATATATCCTGTACAAGTGGAAACAGTTTGTGTCATAAGTGTACTGAACAGATTTTGGAATCCGACCGCAATACGGGCTGCAAGGCATCGGTCTTGTTGACAGTGACCTTATTTATTACAGAGAGCATCTAATGTCATCGCTTTTTAACTTAGCACCTTTAATTGAGACAGTCCAACAAATCATAAAGCTACAGTCTACAATCTTTAATGTTAAATTCAGCTCATTTAAGAGACAACTCAAAACATTTTTATTTAAAAAAAAAGATCCAGGTACTTTTTTAAAAAGAAATCTCTGAAAACTCTGATATTCACCACGCTCCAAGCCACTTTCTGACAAAGTCTAATGAACTATGTAAGTGGAAACGATTTATGTTAGCGCATGTACCTCTCCGCCATTTACATAGTCCAGGACAAAGTAGAGCTTCTCTACAGTCTGAAACGAGTAGTGAAGCCGAACCAGAAATGGGTGTTTGAGGCTCTTCAGCAGCACGTTTCTCTCTGCCATGATGTTCTTTTGCTAAAGAGGGAAAAGGAGAAAAAAATAAGTTCTGGGAAGTTCCGTTTTTTGCTTTTTTCAGTTTTTTTGTTTAGTTGTTTTGCTTTTCTGCTTCATGTTTTTTGACAAAAAGGCCTTAAATCATTTTATTTCACTATATAATTTGAAATGCACATACGAACATAAATAAATATTGTTTATAATTCACAGAATATATTTGCAGTGATGATGCATAAATAATACAATACAAAAAGGAAAATAAAGGAAACATGTTTAACACACATCCTGTGTAATTTATAAAAAAATGGCTGTAATTCATAAACAGTTAATGTAAAGGTTTTGAAAACCCGAGAGTTTGCACTTTAATCACATTTTGATAGTCCAAATTAAAATCCAATGTGATGATGTAGATACTATAAAAAAAGCATGAATAATGTGATTTTTGCCCTGGAGTTACTGCGCTCACATGCTTCTGGACCAAAAGAAGCACATCAATGACTTCTTTTCATGCTGCTAACTGAAATCAGTTGAAATATGTGTACTTTTGTTTTTTAATTACTCGTTAAACATTATTTGAACCCCTTTTTAAAGTCATTAAAACAATGATGTGCAAGTTGTCTTTCACACTATGAAAAGCTTATTTTATTAATTTATTTTATTTCATTTAATGTCACTTTATGACAAAAAGGGATGACTGAGGAAGAAGGTTGCCAGTGAGCATGGTCAGTAATAACAATCAGTTTGTCTAATCAGCAATTATGCTGTCTAACAAACACCTGGCCTGGCTTTTTTTTTCTGGAGGCAATAAAATCTGTCCTTTGTACAGAGCTGTAGATTAGATAAGTCTGAGACCCTGTTGCTAGGTAAAAACTCTAACAACTATCAAAGATCCTCACTATCACCGAGGGAACCCTTGGACAGTTATTTTCCATTGTCATCTCCTCATCCTGACACAATTCCAAACTAAACATTTCAACTAAACGCGGATTACTGGACCTTTAAAACACATTAACACAGTGACAGCAGAGCCCACCTCTTTTTTCTTCAGGATGACTTTCTTCTGCAGGACTTTGACAGCGTAGAATTTGCTGTCGGCTTTATGCTTGGCAAGCAGGACCTGTATGGAGGTTCACTTGTTAGTGCCTTGTTTAGCAAACAGTCTGCACCACCATCTCAGCATTCTACTTTCAGGATATTACATGAAAGTAGCGCACGCAGCACAGATATGTCGTCTGTGGAACCAGATAATACCGAGAAATCTGATAAGTTTGTTGACACAAAGAGCAAAAAGGCTTGAGGTGGACACGAAGCCACAAAAACGCCTATTTTTTAAGATCTTTAGGAGTTGAATGTCCATATTTATTATGTTCCACTGGACGACGCTCAGGAGACCGAAAGAGGCCTCAGTGGATTGTACAGTTAATGATTCATGAAGAAAGGGGCACATTTCGATTAGACAGTAGTCAGCAGGTAGACTCACTGACCCCCGCTGCAATGTCAGCAACCGCACGCTATGTACTCTCTCTCCTTCTTTCTAACGCCCTCTCACTTGTCTCACAAGGTCAGCACAGTAAAACCCTTATCAATTTGCATTAATACCATTAATACCTTCAACTGGATTTGTTGTTTATTAATGAAAAAGGAAAAAATTTACTCAAGGAGCTGCTGCTGTGGAACAAGTGAACTGAAGGAGGAAGAACAAGGAAATGACCGAGAGGAAAAGCCAGGAGATGTATTAAACAGCAGAAAGATGGATCTATAAATAAGTAATTGTTTCAGTGTTACCTTTCCAAAGGTCCCTTTGCCAATGACAGCCAAGAAGTCAAAGTCAGTGGGCCTGGCACTGAAACAAGAAGGTAATGTATTAAAATTACATAATAACTTCTGAGATACTTTATTTCTAACAGGATATAAATCGTGGACATAATGCTGGTAAGAGTTTCTCCTCATACAGCAACACCTCCTTAATAAAATACAGACTGTAGATAATTAAAGTTTCTGTTTGAGGTGCTTCGATCTGACATTAAGAAAGTTAATGGGGAGGCGGAGCTACATGCTGGTTAGTGAGTTACTGACTTTGGGTTTGCTGAAGGTCCCAGGTTAACATCATCTTGAGGAGAGGAAGGTGGTGTCCGCAGCTGAAAAAAAAAAAAAGATTGATTCAATTGATTTATAAATAGGCTTCAGCAGCAGGAAAAGGATACATGTCACGATGTATTCGATTATCGAATGAAAAATACAGAAACTAAGGAGTTCGCAGTAAAACCTTGACAAGGTAAGGTCATGTCTAGCATCTCTGAAACACCAGAGCCATTCAAAGAACTTTAGAAGATCAAATTAAAACCAAAAAGATGAAACGAAGAGAAGAAAAGGCAGAAATGATCCAAGTAGTAATAGTAAAAATAAAAACAGCAAACACAATGTTGGCACAGCTACCTGCTGGTTAAGAGCAATCATGAATAAAGCTGTTTTTAGCATCTTTAAAAAATTAAAAAAAATGATCTGAGCTCCAGGGCTAGCTGGTTGTGGCATTAAGCACCATACAGCTGTGCATTTAGCTGCTATGGTGCTTAATGCTCATCCTGCTTAGTATAAGATCTGTGCACTGCACTAGCTGACCGGATCTACTGGGTTTGTATCCATTAAACATCTCAGATATGCATTTAGGGCCCCAAGCCTTTTAATGATTTATAAACAACCAGTAATACTTGTAATTCAGTTCTATATGTTACTGGAAGCCAGTTCAGGGAGCTGAAAATAGGTGTGGGCAATTTACAATTTTCAGGAGCTCAGGAGCAAAGCTGCTCAAACGTATTTTAAGGAAACTTGTGGGATGTATCTAGAGAGCAGTTATTACAAAAAAGTTTTGTAATCCATCTGAATTCTTCCGCTTATCCAACTCAGGTTGAGAGGATGGGTACACCTTCGACAGGTTGCTAGTCTGTCACAGGGCTAACACAGAGAGATAGACGACCACTCACACTCATATTCACACCTACGGGTAGATTTTTCGGCACTTAACCTAACCCCCACTCACTGCATGTCTTTGGACTGTGGGAGGAAGCTGGAGTAATTGAAGAGAACCCACACAGACACAAGGAGAACGTGCAACACTCCACACAGAGATGCTGGATTCAAACCCATAGTCCTTCTTGCAGTGAGGCAACAGTACTAACCACTGTGCTGCCAGACATCGTTAAATTACTGCTAATTATTGAGTATAATACACATTTTCTCTGATATGAATTTTGTTCTTGAAAAAACTTATTGCACTTTTTGGTTGAGGCAAACTCTTGAAGTGGCAGTGCTGGAGGGCTTGCTAGTTTGTCTACAGCAGCAAACAGAGTCTGAGTATTTGAGGTGTTTTCATTAATAATGTTAGTAAAGTAGTAAAGTATTAACTCAAAGATGTAGATACAGACACTGATTAAAAATGTCATCGTCAGTCTGAAGACTGCTTCTGCTTAGTTTTCTTGTAGTTTCTCTTTTGATCAGCTACCATTATAACATTTTTTCACAGTGCTTTCTGTTTACCGAAAACACTGTTAACCTTGACAGGTGCAATGTTGTCAAGAACCCTGAGAATGTTAGAGTTACTGCTTGAGCTGGTCAGCCACAGACTCTGCTATTGCACTATTACATCATACCAATGGTTTGCATAAATAAAGTACTAGTGTTTTCATTGAAATTCCTCTTTCTAATAGTTTTGAATGTGGCTTGGCGGACTGGGGTGACCATAAAAGAAGACACAAAAATGATCAGACAGAACTACATCCAAAGCATTATGATCAGACTCGTAACGGAGCTGATCTTAAGCCCAGACACTTTTTGATGACTTTGTATATGAACACTGAAATACCAGAAAAATGTAAAAGGATCAAGATATGTTCAACATTATGCACCACCATTTAGTAAAGAAGAGAAAATATCATTCTCTGTAAGCCATATGTTTGATCTGGTCAAGATTTCATGCCCTTCCTGATGCAACCCTCCCCAGTTACCCAGGCTTGGGACCAGCACTGGGAGTACTGTGGCTTGTGGACCCCTGGACAGAATTAACAATGAGTAGATCAGAAGGAAAGCTCAGATTCAGTGGTGTGAAAACAAAGCTAGAGAGGCAAGGCTGACTCTGGACATGTGCATAGGAGGGATAGTGGGTATATCAGATTAAGGATTAAGTGGAGCTGATGAGCAGGAGGAAAAGAGGAAGACCACAGAGGAGGCTCATGCGTGCATTGAGGAAGGACATGCAGAGGGTTGGTGAGATAGGGGAGAATGCTAGGGATGGGGTGAGACTGCGGTAAAGGGAGCAGCCGAAAGTTATAGTAAAGAGGAAGATTGACACTTGGGTCTTGCGCTCTTTTAAATAGCAGTCTATTCAAGTCTGATCTATTCAGATTTAAATTATGTGGATTAGGATTTTGTGAAAATCTACTCTGGAAATTAAAAATCCAGAACCAGAGGAAAAGACATACGTGAGCTTTGCCTCATTTAAACAGGGAAACCCATCAAAAGTTAAGAGCAACACAACAAACACATAGATTTGTCCCGTCCTAAGTGATCACATCAAACGAATGGCACTGATAGAGATCGTATGCTGAATCTCTAATATATTGATTCAGTGTGACCTGATCAAATACGACGCGGCATAAGCCAAAGGCACTCCAGATGTCGATGTCAGTTCACTCATTAGACATCTGCTAAACAAAGCAGGACTGGACCGCAGGCGCGTTTCCCTTTCACCCAACAGAGTAAAATAAAAGCATCATAATAAAATTACACTCACATTACAGTGTGCCATGGTTACTATACTCCACTCCCATCAGTGTTTGACAGACCTGCTAGGAGAGGAGAAATATTCACATTCAGTGGGCTCAGCAGCTTTTGTAGGGGTAAAACATATTCAACATTTATAGGTAAAAAGAAATCTCCTCATCTGCTCTGACTCAGAGGAACGTGGTCATCTAACCTCCGTAACCTGCGCAGGTGTTAACTCACCTCATGTGACGACAGCCTGAGGATCAAGAGGAGCTGGTAGTTCTGGTTTGTACTGAAGAGGATGCTGGAACAACAGAAAGACCGTGATGGGCCTCGTGTTTGTGTAGTGTGTGTCTGTGTGTGTGCTTGCATTCCTAATGTTATGAAGGGAACACATTTTTACAGCGTTAGGAGACGCCAAAAATAAAATCTGTGAATTTTACTCTTAACATTAGGGCGAGGGTTATGTTTCGTAAACTAGAGGTTATGGCAAGTTTTCAGAAAGTTATTGAAAGTCGGTGCGATGTCCTCTAAAGTGATGGAAACATGACCCTGTGTGCATTTGTGTGTGTGTATGTGTGTGTGTGTGTGTGTGTGTGCGTGTAGTGTGTTGGTGAACATGTTTATATGCTAAATATTGTTGTGTCTTTTTTCATATCTGTCAAAACATACGGGATGACCAAGATCTCTCTCACTCACACACACACACACACACACACACACACACACACACACACACACACACACACACA